GGTCCGCGGCAGCGCGCCACGGCCGGGACTGTGACGCGGCCACGGCCTTGGGCCCCACGGGGAGCATACGTACTGTTTTCGGTGTCACTGTACTTAGGGACATTGCTTAACCCTTTCTATTCCTTCTGTGTGAGTTTATTTAACAGAGATGTTCTTTTGTGTGAGAAAGTTCTAGAGACTAGGTATTTAATGTAAATAGTTGAAGAGATTCGATGAAGAATCCGGGATAAAAATGGGGAAAGCACAGGTGTCTGGGATCCAGGGATGAGCTGTGTGGAGAAGCGCTGCCTTGGCGAGGGTTTGTGATGGCCGCATTTCGGATTTCAGAGACTTATCCTGAGTATAAATAAACTCTACAGCCGCAGCAACTTTTATAAGTATTGTCGGACTTTATTAATGCTAGATTATATAGTATCAGGCTCAATTTTACATTGACATTATTTTGTAATTTTTTATTACTATTTTTAAAGGACTAAAGAAAATTCACATTAATGCAATAAGAATTTGGTAGAAAGTTGTTGCAAAAACATTCGAATTGTGTGTTCATGAAGGTTCGTGTATTGCCAGTGCAGGTGTCTGTACAGCCAAGGCTGCCGCCGTTTTGTAAGGGACACTTTTGGTACAGCTTTGTCTCCCAGGAAATTTGTGTTTTTTAATCCTTTCTGAAAATACAGTTAGGTTAATAAACAGGATTGTTTCTTCCCTACTGTGGACAGATAAGTGTTTTTCTTCTTAAGAGCACTCTCGGTAGTGGCTGTGTTAGGGCAGGAGCCTGTCTCCAGAGCAAGGACCTACTTACCCGGGGCGCGGGGACTGGCGTCCTCGGAGCGGACCGTGTGGGCCCGGAGACAGGGCGGGTGAGACGGACAGGTGAGAAGGGTTGGGAGCTCATTCTGTGGGAACGGCACCTGAACCCGTATTTAATAATTAATATTCAGAAAAAAGAATACGGAAGTGGGCTGACTTTATAACCCACAGAACAGGAAGGGATCGTGTCTCAAATCCAAGACGTCAAGACTATATCAAAAGGGCTGTTTTAGAATTTTTTAAGTTTTGTTAGAAACACGTTTAACAAATGTCAGTTTTTATTTGAAAAGGATGGATTATTATCTAGCATTGAGCCCCTGTACATTTGTCATCGGCATAATAATGGAAAGAATTTTGTCAACAAAATGAGGATTTCATATTAATGCCCATTTTTGTGATTTTTCTCCACCCTTTGCAAATTACCTGGCCAGGTGCAGTGACCTACACCTGTAGTCCAGCATCAGGGGGCTGAGGTGGGAGAGCAGGTGAATGCAAGAGTTCAAGACCAGCCGGGGATGTAGCTCTGCTACAGCTTGTCTGGCAAGCATGTGGCCCTGAGTTTGATTTGCAGTATTGAAAAAGAAAGCTCAAAACCAACCTAGACAAATAAATCATCGATGCCTTGTTTACAAAAAATGTTTTTAATTAAAAAACACGGTGGGCTGGCCATGTAGTTTTGGTAGATCACTTGCCTAGTATGTGCAAGGCCCCAGGTTCCATCTCCAGCACCACAAATAAAAATAAACTTATAAATAAACCTGTAACCCTGTGGTTCTTGGAGGCTGAGGCCGAAAGATCCCAAGTTCCAGCCCAGCCAGAACTACTTACTGATTTAGACACTGCCTGAAACTTAAAAAATGAGGCTGGGGCCGGGCGTGGTGGTGCACACCTGTAATCCCAGCACTCGGGAGGCTGAGGCAGGAGGATCGCTGTGAGTTCGAGACCAGCCTGGGCTACATAGTGAGTTCCAGGTCAGTCTCAGCTACGTAGTGAGACCCTGCCTCAAAAACAAAAAAAACCTAAAATGTGGCTGGGGATGTAGCTCAGTGCAAAAGGTTCAATTCCCAGTAACACACACACACACACACACACACACAGCAAAGTCAGCTTGGTGGTTCTCAGAATTGTCTAAGGTTTTTCTCGGTGTATTAAAAGTATCACCCTTTTCTACTTGTACCCAAATACTAACGTCCGTATCAGGCCACACTGGCGGGGCAGGAGCTCCCTTCGGCCCAGGCTGGCCTTGACTCTCGGTGCCTGGGCCCCCAAGTGCCACCACACCTGGCTTCTGGTTTGGGTTATTTTACTCTTTTCTTTAGTATTGAACAAGAACAATTTAAGATGTTTTTGGTTTTTTTGGTACCGGGGATTGAGCTAGGGTCCTTGCGCTTGCAAGGCAGGCGGCAGAACCACTGAGCTAAATCCCCCGCACTTAAGATGTTTTTCTGTGATTTGATTCTAGACTTTTACTGTAAAAGAATGTAACTGGAGGAATCCCTGTTCTGTGTGATGTAACCTGAAATCCATCCGCGAGGACTCAAGCAAAGCTGGTGTCCTACAAGGGAAAGCACCCTGCAGGCATCTGGAGGAATTGTAAATTCTAGATGTGGCCTATACAGCATTGCACATTATTTTAAGTAAAATTTGTTCTTAAAAATTGTTAAATGTGAATACCAAGAAAGATAAAAGTTTGGTGTTTCAAGGTACTGGGGTTTAGCCCAGGACTTTCACACCAAAATACAGCCTTTTTTTAAAAAATTGAGACAGGGTTTCAATACGTTGCTGGCCTCAAACTTGCAATCCTCCTGATTCAGCCTTCCAGAGTGCTAGAATTACAGGTGTGCACCACCACCGGGCTGTGTTCTGCATTGTTTCTATACTTTTAACTCCAGGATTTAGTTACTTATATAAATGGGATGGATTCCATTATTTTTAGTAGAGTAGTCAAATGATATTAATAAGAAAGTTGAATGCATTTTTATACTGCTACTGGTGAAAAATATAAAAATGGGTCATATCAGTAGCGTAAGAAAATGACAGGAGGATCCGCAGAGACGCAGGGAAGGCGTGTAACGTGCACGGCCTTCCCGGGGTGAGGCGGCACCTGTGAGGGCCCCGGGCACAGACACCTGCGGCCGCCATTCTGTTCAGCACCGCACGGAAACTCCAGCCAGGGCACCGGCCAGAAAG